GGGGGGGTGTCCATCGGTGAGCTGCCAGCCGGAGGAGAGCTGACCAGACAGCCCCACCGCAAAGCCCTGGCCTGGCGCGCACCTTGACAAACAACTGGAAGGTCCTGGGGCTGGGGACAGCCTTGGTCATGGTGAGATTGCCCGAGGTCTGGTTGATGAAGAATGTGCTGTCCTGGTTTCCTGGGGGAGGCAGGCGCTCAGCCCTGGCCCCACCCCTCCGGGCTCCCCGCTGAGGCCCTGGGACTCCCAGACTGGTCAGATGCTGCGTGGCAGGCAACTGGCCATAACTCACCCCTCAGGAGGCTGTAGACAATGGGTTGGCCGATGCCTCGGTCCCCGTCCACGGCGTAGATGGGCCCTGGTCGCAGGGTGAGGGGGTCCAGCTGCAGGGACGCGGGAGGGGGCACATGGGCAGGTGCCTGTGGCCAGCCCAGTCCCTCGCTGCCCCTTCAGGAGCTCTGAAGTACAGGGCAGGGGCCACCTGTGTGGGGCCAGCAGGGGAGCAGGGCAGAGGGGCTGGTAGGGGTTGCCTGCCCTGCTCAGTGGAGCTGACCACGCTTGGTCCTGCCTGAGGCTGCCAGAGTGTGTGCCAACATTAACAAGGTGGGGGCGCTCATGTCAGCCTCTCCCACCTGCCCGTGTGCCTCTGGGTGCCTGTGTGCAAGGGACAGGGTGCTGAGCTACTGAGCTGACTCGGGAAACCAACATGGCTCCCAGGGCCCCAGGACCTCAGGGACAGACAGGGACACCCACCCCCACCCCACGCACCCCTGGCTCACTCTGACTGAGACCCTAGGGGGATGGGGTTTGTCTGGGGACCACGACGTGGTGGGAAGAGATTGCTTCATGGAGGAAGTGGTGGGACTGGAGGCACAGTGGTTACCCCGCTGGGCTGCTGTCTGCAAGCTCGGCAGTTCAAAACCACCAGCCGCTCCAGGTGAGAAAGGCTTTCTACTCCCAGCAAGAATGACAGTCCCGGAACCCACAGGGCAGTTCTACCCTGCCCTGTCAGGGCACTGGGTGCCAGCCTTGACTGGACGGCAGAGAGTTTGGTTGGGTTCAATAATTACAACTCAGATGCCACCTCCCACCCACCCCCAACCTCATTCGTCTGGGAACCCCCGGTTCCACCTACTCCATCTCTGCCCTTGACCCCAGCCCTCCCTGACGCAGCGGACGCTGGTCTCAAGTTAGGCTACCGAGAGCCCCCCAGCCACAACCCCAAGAGCTGCCCCACCCCTCATTACCAGTTGGTGGCCTGTGGGGACACCCCCTTGGTACTGGGCTTCCACACAGACGTAAGGGTCTGAGTATTCACAGGGCAGGAACCAGGGGGGACGTAGGTCAGTTGGCAGGACCTTCACTGTGAGGGTGGCTGTGGCCGTGTGGGAGGGGCTTGTGTTCTCTACCTCCGTGTCCTGTAAGGAGTACCCGGTCAGGCCCCGGCAGAGCGGGGCCAGGTCTGAGGCGCCCAGCTGTTGGGGGGGACCATGGTCTGCTCACCCTGACGGTCAGCTGGAAGGTCATGTTTTGACAGGTGTCGAAGTCCAGCCTCTTGACCAGCCTCAGGGCGGGGTTATTGACGCCAGAGAGCGAGAAGGAGCCGGAGTTCCCCTGAAAGGAAGACTGCCTGAGCCCTGGAGGGGCCTGGAGGGGCTGGACGAGAGGGCTGGGGTTGGGACGGGGCTGGGGGGTACCGACTGGGGCGACTTCCTGGAGGGTGTAGAATAGGCGGTCATCTTTGTCCTTGTCACTGGCCTTCAGCTCCGTCTCTGGGATGACCACGGAGTTAACCTTGGTGTCCTGATAGACAAAGAGAGGGTGGTTCCTGCCACATTTGTGCCCCATGGACCAAGCGGCAGGGGCAGGGGCAGGCCCAGCCGTCACCACCACCACCCCCTGCCCTGCCCTGCCCTGCCAGGTTCACCAGGCTCCTGTGCCCAGTGGCCCTGGCCCCTCTCACCTCCATCACATCTACAGTTTTGGAGACGAAGGGGAAGTCGGGGGCGTTGTCGTTGACGTCCTCCACTAGCACCAGCATTATCAGCTGCGTCACCTGGGGGGGGGGGCGAGGAATCTCCCCAAGCTGGTTCCTGCCATGTGGAGGGGCCCTGCCGCCTGCTCATCCCTCCCTCTCTCCCTCTCTCCCTTGTCTGTCCCCACATTTATTTATATCTCCACACATTCAACAAACCCTGGGGCTGACTGGGAGCCAGCA